AAGGTGGGATGGGTAGGTGAAGAGTAAAAAGGGAAAAGAAAAAAATGTGAGAGAATGTAAAGATGAAAATAAAGTGTTTGTAGATGGGGAGGGGAGGAGGGGGTGAAGGGAGGGCAGAGGTAAGGGGAAAAAATGAGAATCAAGACTTGTCATGTAGAGGTACAAGATCCCAACAATGAATATAACTGTACTGTATCCCTAAAATGTACCAATAAACTCAATTAAAGCTGAAATAAATAAATAAATAAATAATTAAAAAAATAAAAGATGAGATCCCAATTGTTGATTCTTTGTGCTAGTTCCCATGTGCTACTAAGGATTTGTTCATGAAGTCTTTTCCTATTCCAATATATATATTTTGTACTGGGGGTCGAACTCAGGGCCTTGTACTTGCGAGGCAGGTGGCAGAACCACTGAGTCAAATGCCCAGTCCCCTATGCCAATATATTTAAGAGTTCTACCTAACTTATCTTCCAGTAAGTCTAGTGTTTCTGTTTTGATATCTTGACCATTTTTAAGGGTATGCTTCAGCAGCATCAAGTACATTCACACCATTAAACACGAATTAAATATAAATTCCCCTTCTTCTTTCCTGGGCCCTGTAGCACCCATCCTACAGTTTGTCTCTAAGAATTTGACAGCTCCAGAGACCTCCTCTAAGTAGAATCATAGTTCACATCATTTAAAAGCAAGTCCAAGTGCTCAGTGATACTGATGTGCCTTCTGTCTTTCACTTTTTTTTTTTCTTTGCCAAGGTGGGTTTGGGCCTTATGAGTGGTGCACAGAAAATTCTACATCTCGTGTGTCTCTTTACTGAAAGACAAGCCACCATCCCTGACTTTCAGTGATCACTCTGCTTTCTGCTTACCCACGGTCAGAGCCACAGCAGGTCAGACTGCTCACGTGGACAGAATTAAGTATGCAATTTATATGAAAGCTCTGTAAAATGCAGCAGCCACTACAAACGTACGACACACCTTGAAAAAAAAAACCCCACAAGAAAGAAAACCAATTTTTTGGCAAATCAAGGAGAAAAACATTCCATAAGCAAATGTTGGAGTCTAGGAGAAGCAGTTTCCCATAACAGCAGTTCCAAAATCAATGCGACACCAGAACAATACACAGGGAGCAAACCACAGCTCCCTGTGACATCACCCAGCTGAGGTCTTTCAAGCACACCTGACTACTGATGATGCCTGACGAGCCACGCTGCTCTTGGCAGAAGCTTTTGCAAAAATCATTCTCAAATGGAGACCCTGATGGTCCTCACGAGCGAAGTCAGTGCCGTTGCCTCACACAGTCTTCTATCACAGCTCATACAGGCTCGGAGGGAGAGGTTGAGGGCAGAGGAGAAAAGAGAAAAGGCTTCATATAAACAGGTTTATTTGCTAAGTGGAGCTGTGGAGCATCAGAACCCCATGTTTTGGGGCCTCTCTATCCTTTTGTCTGTCAGACTGGCTGAGCCCTGTCACTCTCAGAGCCAGGGCAGAGACACTTGTCACCATCAGAGATGCAAGGCCGTGTGGGCTGCCTCAGAGAATCTCACACGCGGACACAGCAAGCTGGCCTCAAGTGGAATTCTGTCTCCCAAGTCAAAATGCATCACACCACTATGGCATGGGAAAGTGCCCAGGAAGGAAGGATGCCCTGAGTGAAGGGTAAGCACCCAGCATTCAGTGCATGCATGCACAGAAGCCCTGAGTGGGGCCTGGCACCTGCTCTCCTCCAGTCCCTCTCCTCCTACCCTGCACCAGAGTCTACCTTGCCTGTCGGCATTGCCTTGCCTGCTCCCAGCCATCTTCCTGTCTGCTCCTCATGAAGGCAGCACACAGCCTGGGAGCCTTCCCGGGTGCTCAGTCCTCTTCCTGACCCCTGCCACCAGCACTGAAGATGCCCTGTGTCCCCTTTCCAGATTTCCCTATGTTTCAACACCTCGCTCGGTTGTCAATCACTGCCACATATGGAGGTATCCTTTTCCTTCACATGTACGTATATCTGTATGACATATGGAATGCTGTTCGGCATGTACTTAAGCTAAATAATTGGTATCATACCGTATGCATTCTTCTGGAACTGGCTTCTTCTCACTGACATGTGTACGAGATTGATACACACTGACGTGTGCAGTGATCACCATGTGCTTTCACGGCTGCAGAGTATTTTGTTATAAAATGAATGCTCCAAGGATAGAGCAAGGAATGGTTTACTTTTCAATCCAAAAAGACCTAAAACTTGAATGAAGTTGAGAGTGACTGTCAGTCCCTGATTTCGTCCCCTACTCCCTCAAACTAATGTGATACCTGTAATTAGCATCAATAACCAGCAAATTTAGTTATGCTTCTGTTTGGAGTGATAACTTGCAGCCATGGCCTTGTTTTAAATAATAGAATCAAGTGTTTGTAGTAGACTAGCTGGCCAGGTCACAGCTGCCCAGTCCTGAGGATCCCATGTGTAACTCACACCACATGAGGTCAAGAGCAAGGTTCTTGGGCTAAGGACCACACAGACCCCTAACAGGTCTCCAGGATAGAGACATCTCACAGAAGAAAAGAGACCCCTTGCAAAGGGAGCAAATCCATCTGCTGATGGGTACAATAACCAGTCTGGCACCTTATGCTCACCCATCCTTCTGCAGATGGAAGAGAACTACTCGGCTCTAGGTAACATCCTGGTGCCAAGGAGCCTGGGGTTGGCACACGGTGAAGTCAGGGCACTGCGAGAAATGAGACTGGAAGCCCTAGAGATGCCAAGGCTTTGAAGTCGTGGCGGGTGCATCTGTCTGGAAGAGCTGTTTCAAGAAGGAACCAGCTGTCTGATACTGGAGAAAGTGGAGTAATAATGTGCGTTTAAAATAAAATTGCATGAGAAAGCAGCAAGTCTGCTCTGCTTTGCTTTCCTCCAAGTCACATCCAATGTCCTTGTTCTATATTATTGGCTTGTGGATTTGAGCCTGAGCATTGTGAATCATTTTGTGAGCCTTGGCAAAGGGAAATTTACCCTCCAAATCCTTGGGGAGATGCACACACGACCGGTATCCCACGGAACACACTGGGAAATACCCAAGCAGTGGCCAACTCGGCCTCATCGCAAAGGGGCTGGGGAGAGAAGAGTGGGAAGAGCCCATTCAGTTGCCTTCAAGATTCTATTTTTCCTCAGAACTCAAACACATGGCAGTTTTTACCTTAACAACTACTGTCACCCAGAGTTTAAACTACAAAACGCACCAAGGACTTTAAGATGCTCCACGAGCAAACCACAAAGGGGAGCCCTTCCTGGTACCATTTAGTGAGTAAATTGCTACAAAGCACAGGGGAGCACTAAGGTGACCATGTCCCCCAGAGCTTGTGGCTGGAAACTTGGTCCTCAACACGTGTGTTGTGGGCAGGCCTTTAGGAAGTATGCGGGTCACAGAGCGGAACAAAGGAGAGGGGATCAAAGTCCTATGGCAGGGAGTTATCCTGGGAGTGGGCTCATAACAGACAGGGTCGGTGCAGGGGAGTGGAAAAAAAAAATAAAAGCCAAGATCCATCATGTAAAGGTACAAGATCCCAATGGTAAATGTAACTATACTATATACCTAAAATGCACCGATAAACTTAAAGGAAAACAAACAAACAAACAGGGCCGAGCCCTCTGCCCTCTCGTCTCTTGCCTCTCCCAAGATGTGAGCTGAGGCAGACAGAAGCCCTTACCAGACGCCAACCCCTTGACCTTGGACTTCTCAGTGGTCAGCACTGAGGAAACAAATTTCTGACCCAGTTGGTAGGGTCCCTTGATGGCAGCACAGTGTACTAAGAAGGAAGCAAGAGAGCTGACTTTGCTGTCTCGGTCTGACTTAGCTCCAGTCCTTTCCCTCAACACCTCCTTTCTCCACTCCTCTCTTCTCACTGCCACCAGAGACACAAGTAAAGAGAAAAGCCCTGTCTCATTTATAAAACACAAAGCCACAGGATGGGCACACAGGCTCAGCAGAGATCAGGAAATGCACAAGCAAACCCTACGCACACTCCCATACATGTGGCAGGAGAGGCGATGTATCGGAGAGACCCTGAAGTGAGCCCTGCGGTCTGCGGCCAAGTTCTGCATTTCCTTGCCAGGCTGCACTGCACAGACCACAGGAGGTGGCAATGTCTGGCACACAGGCCCAGACAGAAGTAACTATGGCCAGAGGCCCTCAGAAACCCACTCTCCCACCAACTCCTCCCTCACTCTTCTCTCAATGACTCAAATGCTAAAAATACAAACTCCAATTCCGTTTCTAAAGCTTCTACAGTCCCGTCATAGAAACAGAGGATCGATGCTGGGGCACGAGATGGAAAGCCCAATTACTCCCTCCCTGCGGACGACCACCTGAGCAGACATTTCCCTTCAGCCCCAGCAGCAGTTCCGCGTGAGAGACCCCTCCTGTCAGCCCTCACCTGCGTCAGGACAAAAGCTCTGAGGCAGCATCTTTATCTTCACTCAGAGGTAAGCTTTATCAAAACTGCTGTGACTGCCAGCTGGTGCCGAACTGCTGTTTGATAACTAGGCACCAACTGAAGAAGTCAGCCTCTGCTCCATGAAACTATGTGTGGCAAACGAGTTTTACACCTGCTGCAGCCAGGTGGCTGGACAGGACTTAAGAGCCAGGAAACCCCGGGAAGAGGGGGAAGGGCCAGGACAGAGGGTCACCTGCCCCTCACACATATTCTCACACTACACATACATCTCGCTGTACCGGATGGACTCCCCTACTGTAGGGAATTATATCTGATATTTCTGTTGCTGTGTCTGTTATATCAGCCTCACAAATGGGATCAGTTACAGGTCAGACAGAAAACACCCCAGAAAAGACCCAGTTATCACATCTGCAGGGTCTTTCCACAGAGCAGGGCATCAGGCCCGGGCCTGTCCTGCCAATCCATCCATGGGCTTAGCCCATGTGAAACACAGCTTCTGCACTCCAGAGGTGAGGTCTCCTCGGCCCGACTCAGACACTGTGTCCTGAAAAGTCCTACCTGTCAGGGCACCAGTGCTGTGCCATGCCTGGCTTATCCCGGTCATGACACTGCACAGCTTCCTCTGTAGACAGGGACCCCTCTCACCTGTGAAGTGCTTTCGGGCAAGGCCTACAGAATTTAGGATTCACCAGCAATGTGGCCAAACCTGTTCTTGCTGTACTCCCCACACCTGATCCTTGTCCTCTCTCCTACCCCTCAGTGGTCCCATTGCCAAGCAGCTAAAGGATAAAAAAAGAGAAGCTGTCCTGAAATCCTCATCCTCACCCCAAACTGCTCGTTCTCTGTCTCCTGCATCACTGTGTCCACACAGCCTCTCCCATTTGGGTTAGGTTCTCTGCCTACCTGTCTTGCCCACCTCCCACCTGCACCCAGAAGCCCACTGCTGTGTCCACCTACATGCCTATTGCTGAGTCCACTGATGATGTGATCCTGCTGATAACTAGAGTGGCCCCTGGAGACCTCTAAATAAAAGTTCACTCTCATTGGCTGGGCACACAGGCTCCTCTCTGGGGATCGCACCTGAGGACACTGACCCCATGGTCACCCATTCACACCAACTTCACCATGAGGCTTGCAGCCCTGCACCATCCATGATGCCAAATCAGCCACCCCCCAGCATGGTTACCATGGACCTATAGTGAAATGAAGGAGGGCCACTGGTTACAGTATCCAGTAAGTACACTGGATACTGGTTACAGTATCCAGTAAGCTTCAAGTTATGTATGAAAAGATAATTAATACTATAAAAAGAATGAATGGATGTCTGACCATCCAAGAGTCAGTTTAAGCACCATTTTCCTTTGAGAGCATTGCTTGATTCATCTTTTTTAATCTCAACAACCCAAATCTGTCACCCTTCATTTACAAGTCTCCTTCCACACACACCATCCCGCATGTACCTGTCTTCTAACACCTGTTACTCTGTGCAGGGACCAATACCCACAACCAGGTGCCTGGCCAGATATCCCTGTATCACAGGCATCTTTGTAGACCTCTCACTGAGCAAAGGTTGTCCAATATTTTATGCCCTTCCATATCCACATTGAGATAGGGAAACTTTTGCCCTGGCTAGTTCATGGGCCTAAACTCACATTCAAACATACGCCATTCCTTCAGGTCCACAGAGCAAACCCAACGGATGACACTGACTGAAACTTTCTCACCTAGCAATTTAAAAATCCTTCATTGTACAGGCAGCGCATGAGGTAGAAACCATGATGTATAGACTATAACATAGACCAGCTCAACAAGTGTTACATCTCCTCTTTATGTTTGTGGATCCAATGGCACCTCAAGGATGTAAGCTGGAATGAGATAAATAGGCCAACAAGTGCTCTGTAACATAAATAGCACAGAGAGGGGGACAGAAAATCAATCACATTCTCTGTGAAAGAGCACCAGACCTGATTTAGGACACATGACTTTTCTCTTTCTCATGCCTGATGGATGAGCCAGGCCTGGGCATCCTGCAGACCAGCTGATCTGAGATGCCTGGAAGCAAACCAAGCCTAGAAAGATTCCCCTTTACCTGGTCCTTTCTCATGGCCCCAGAGAACAGCTAGAGATCTCCTCTTCTCCAGCGGGGATCCTGATAGCTCCTCTGCCAAGAGATCAGTTTGAGGTGGGGGGAAAGAGGCATATACAGAAGGTGCCACTGAAACTCACAGAGTCAGCGAGGGACCAAAGGCTGGAGACCTCACAGGATGCTGCCGTGGCTTGGATGAGTGTCCCCAGTGTTCACACGTAAAGGCTTCGTCTCCAGGTCCCCAGGTGCAGTTACTGGAAACTGCTGGCACCCTTAGGTTGGGGGGCCTGCTGGGAGAACAACTGGTCATTGGGGGTGTGCCCACTCCCCAGTTTCTGCCTCTCTCCACTTCCTGGCCCAACAGACTGAAAGAGTTTCCTGATGGCTCCTTTCATGATAAGCCACCATCACCAGGGGCCAAAGCAATAATTCCATACAATCTCAGACCCGAGCTTCTAGCATCACTTTATATTGAATCTAACCAGTAAATTCATGATGACTCATTAGCAGGATGTGATCTGATTCTCACAGTGCTCAAAACCACAATGGAGCTTGTCATACCAGGTCAGGAACACTGTGGGTGAACGGGATACCTGCAGACAACCAGGGTGGTTTTCTGGCTATACAAGGATAGGCTCTGCATCAACTCATCTGAGCCCCCAGAGAAGTGAGGTCACAGAGCTCTTGAAGACCAAAGGTCCTCACATTAAACCAGGTGCTGCCCTTCTCATCTTTAGTGCATCCTTCGTGGGGAAACTTCCTCGAGACAGCTATGGTCATGCAGCCCCTATCCGTATTCCATCCAGGGCTGTATCTGGCCTACCTCAGTGGGTTCAGAAACAGTCTGTGGTGGCCCCTGAAACCACAAGTGCTCTAGAAGCACACTGTGCACGTAACACTGGGGTTCCAGAATGCTCCACCAGTGGGGGGCTCAAACACAGAGCTTTACAATCCAAACTGCAGCTACCATGGATCAGCGAAATCCACACCATTTCTACAAAGGCATGCTTGCTCTGCGGACAGCCACCATAGTCACCACGTATCATACGGGACTGAGACTAAAAGACCAATGAGGTGGAAAGGGTCCTGTCAGAAACCAGGGCTCTCAGGCTGCTGGCAGCCCACACTTACTGACCAATTCCAAATGAGAACCAGGTCAGCAGTGAACTGGCAAACCCAGCTGACAGGCTTTTCAGTAGTCCTATTGCTAGCATGGCCCAGAAACATGTTAGTATCTCTGGAATAGTCCTTCTATCCTACCTGCTGTGATTCTATTTACCTGTGGCTCCACTTCCCAGGCCAAACTGTGTTGGGGAACCATGAATTATCTAAGCTGCTCCTGGCACATGACAGGAGAGAGGAAGAAGGAGCAAAGCAAGCTGGACTTGCTGTCGCCAAAGAGGCGCAACCTGAGAACCCACACGCCTCAGGGACTCAGAGTGAAAACAGCTGAGTTCCTTCAGGGCCACACATTCGGATAGTGACAGACTCTGATGAGTTAGGGCGTGGTGAGGATCATCCAGCCCTTTCCCTTTTTACTAAGGCCAACATTAGAGAAATTAATTGCCCAAACTCCAAGGAGGCCAGTGCTGGTGGGTCTCCCAGCCACAGCTTGTGCGCCACTGGCCACCACCTCTGCAGGTGGACGCTGCAGTGAGGATCCCAGGCCACTCAGCATCCACTGACAAACAGGTGGTCTCAGTCAACAAGGCCCATGGCAGGCAGCTCCCTTCCCATGGCTTCCCACCAAGAATAGCACTCTGGCCCATGTCCTCCCAGTACTACAGCTGTAAATATTTGTTATGGCCTTAATAACAACTCAGTTTGCTTCAGAGCAGAGCAGATAGCGATCCATTTCTCTATGCAAGTGGATATCCATGAGTTAGACAAGGCAGAGGCCAAGTGAGGCCAGTAGAGCTACAACCATCAGATGCACCCAGACAGTACAGACCCTGAGGGCTGTGACATCTGCATTGTAGTTCCAAAGGAACCCATTTTAGAGTCTTTGTCAGTGTTTCACTTAAAACTACAGCATTCTTAATAATTCAGATGGTAAATACAGGGATGGATTGGATTGGATTTTTTTGAATCAGAGGGCTATGAAGGAGAAAAAGGATGTCTTAGAAAGGGAGAGACAAGATCAATGGGAGTTAGTTCAGAAGTCTTTGTCTGGGTCTTGCATCTGAACACCAGTATTTATGATTATTTCAGATGCCCTCTTCCAGGGGTAGAAATTGAGATTTGGGGGTTTCAATATCTTCTACACAGAACTCTTCTGTCCCCAGAGTCGGCCTCCCTGTGAGGCGCTGTAAGGATGATCTGACGGGGAGGTTGAATGCTTTTTCCTTGATAGCTGGAGATGTCTCCCTTGAATTTCCTTAATGGTATTCCTGCCAAGCCTTCCTGCCCATGAATTTTTCCTTATCATTTCTGAACCATCAGTCAGCAACTGTTTTGAGTGCAACACTAAATCTTAGGAGCACCCTACTCATTGTGGGCTTTATTACAGCACTGATGGTCCCCTAGGTAAGACTCAGGGCAATGGATGACAGGGAGGGACACAGGATGGGTCACCAGGCAAGGATATTAGAGAATAGTTCTGAATCAAAAGTCTGTTGACTTCTGATCTCTAGCCCTGCTGGGAACTGTGTCCCTCCCCTCAGCTCTGAATCATGCATGGTAACCACAGCCAGCTACTCTCCATCGGCTTCAGGGGAGTTGATGGTGAAGGACTCCCAAACCTCTCGTGATTCTGTGTGAGATAATGGATTTTTCTTTGCAGATTCTCCTTAAAAAGGTCAATTCACAGCAGGAGATCATGTCAGAATTCAGGGAACAGAAATGGTGAGAGCTTCCATGTTACCCTGAAAGCAGTCAGGGTGCCTCACCAACTTCTGCTACAAAAATCACTGAAGCTCCTGAAGACATGGTCTTTATACAGGGAAGTAGGAAGTCACTGCAATCGGAGATTATTTTAGAATGCAAAAGGAAACATTAAAATTGAAAGCACATGTCACAGCCAATTTCTTAAATAACTGCTTATCTGAGGTGCATGGAACATGCCTCTGAAACACACACTTACCTTGAAAACATGTAGCATCCCAACAGCAGGCTACGCGTGGAAAGTGAGTCAAGCAGACAAGTAATTTAATGAGAATTTTCTTCTGCAGTTCCAAAGCATTGTCAAGACCTGGCTGCTGTCATCTGGGTTGGTTTAAAATTAAACTCCATTGGTTTTTGTTTCTGGGTTTTTTTTTTTTAAGAACAGATGGAAAGAGGGACACACAAACAAACAGTATGCAAACAACAGAATCTCAAGCAGTGGTGGGCAAAGAAGTGGAAGATACACAGAATCTAGCAAAGCACTACAACCTCAGTTCTAGAAAGATGCACCCAACCTGCTACTGAAGGCAACCAGCTTTCTGAAGACAGCATCCGGTCCACAGCCCATGCTGCTCTGTAAAGAACCCAAAGCGGGGTCACTAATTCAGGGTCAACTTTCAGGAGCATCTGTAGAACAGCTAAGTCACAAGGTGAGTTGGGAGAAATGAAGACGAGTCTTCAGGGAAATGGGGAGAAACAACCTCGGGACAAGAGCAACAAGGACCAGTCTGACCTATACATGTCTTTTTATTACTAAAATGGGGACTGAAAACAAAAAGAATAAGAAAAGCCAACGGGACAGGGATTTAGCTCTGTGGTTCTGCCTCCTGCCTCGCAAGCACAAAGTCCCAAGTTCGATCCCTGGTAATCCCCAAAAAAGAGGTGGATGGGGGACATTCCTGTGTGATTCAACAGAACAGGTGATCAAACATCAAAATAAAGTTCTCACTTCTGAGATCTGGTACTGATCTACTTGGATGATCACAAGCACTGACATGAGCACACGCACACACACACACACACACACACACACACACACAACCGCCCTGGATCCATCAGACTGCTTCATGAGTCCCTCAGCTGCAGGCTCAGCTGCCCTCACAGACCTCCTGGTGCACAGCCAGGGGGCAGGGAGCTCCACTAGGCGCAGCCTAGGAAAGACTTCCAGTCCAGGAGCCCTCTGCGGAGTGTGCAGGGCACACAATCACACACAACACTGTCACACAAAAACTCATGGGGCAGCTCTGCTGCTGGACCCGCTGCTGCCATCAGGAACCTGCTCTGAGACAACCACTCACCACCAGGAGCGGGCAGATGCTCCACTCAGCAGCTGTCACACCTGACTCACATGCATACACAGCGCGTGCACACCACGCCCCACACAGTTACATATACTTTGTGCATGACACGGTCACACACCTGGTACTGTGCACCATACCTCACGTAGTCATATATACCTCAGACACGTCACAGTCGTATATAAGCTGTGCAGTCACTTACACACCACCATAGTCACACAGACATATACAACACAATCACACAACACATCACAGCACAGTCACATCAGAGTCACACACAGCCACGCACACCATGCACCACATACTACACACCACACAATCACATACACAACATACATCACATATCCACTCAACAGTCGTACATACAATTACATCACACCATGATCACAAACACTATACACAATACAGTCACATGCACCATACACACCATAGTTACACACATAGACAACACAGTCACACACGACACCAGTCATATACACTGTGCAACAGCCACACACACAGTCACTTATAGCCACATACACGATGCACCACACACTTATATACCACACAATCACACAACACAGTCATACGTCCAGTCAACAGTGCACAGTTATGCACATCCCATAGTCATACACACACACACTCAACAGTCATACAGTTTCATACACAAAAGCCACACACACTCTCCACACAACACACAGCCACACTATACATCACACAGTCACACACCACATACACGAATTCAACAAGTCATAGTTGCACACACCACACACATGACAGAGCCACACATATACCACATACACACCACACAACCACACACACATCAGACACAACACTGTCACACAAAAACTCCACAGTCACACACATGCCACACGCATACTGTAGTCACACGTACTACACACAATAGAGCCACACACCATAGCTATACACACAACACAACCACACATAATACACACATTCACTTCCTTTTCTGGCTCTGCCTTCTCCCTGCCTCTTCCTTCTCCTGCTCTCCAATGTCCCCTCTGGCTCAACACCCCAGACTTCTTCAGAGCTATCAGCAACACTCACAAGCAGCCCTGGGGCTGCCATGTCCTTTATTATTTATTTATTTATTTCTGTTTGGTTTTTTTGAGACAGGGTCTCACTATGTAGTTGAGTCTGATGTGGAACTCACAGCAATCCTCCTGCCTCAGCCTCCCGAATGCTGGGATTACAGGCGTGCACCACCATGCCCGGCTCTGCCATGTCCTTTATTATTTAGTTATTTATTTCTGTTTGGTTTTTTTGAGACAGGGTCTCACTATGTAGTTGAGTCTGATGTGGAACTCACAGCAATCCTCCTGCCTCAGCCTCCCGAATGCTGGGATTACAGGCGTGCACCACCATGCCCGGCTCTGCCATGTCCTTTAGATTTGAAGGAAGATCACATCTTGATGGCAGAGTGCAGCTGGAGCCAGCAGGTGTGGGAATGAGGAGACAGAGCAGGCTAAACACTGATGGGTAGAAGAATATCCAGACACGGGGATGGGTAGACTTGGTTTTAACCAGGCACAGGGGGCTGGTTCACCAGCACATGATTCAGGATTGGACTATGTCAGACCTGCCCCAAACAGAGAGACACCAGCCCTGCCTCACTGCTTTGGGCCTGGGCCAGAATGGACCTTCACAAACAAAGCAGGGCTGGGGGCAACTGACCAGGAAGGGAACACCCTGCCAGGCTGTACTGTATCATAAGGGATGTCACAAGCCACTTTGCCAGATCAAAGCAAAATTCTGTACCAACAGGCCACAAAATGGTAAGGTCACACATCGCAAGTTTCACATGTATGACACAACCAGAAGTGTTCATCAGGCACCAACTGGTGTTCACCAATGGACAAAGGATTCCAAAATGAAACAAGAAAACCAGGAGATCCATGAGGAGAGCACCAGGAGAAGGAGGGCTGGCCCAGAGCTGACCCTGTGTGGTACAGATCTCTATATATAGACACTTGGTCAGGTAGAGGTACTATGGCCTTGTTACATAAAGCAAGCCTGAGCCCCGCAAAGAGAAAACCCTGTAAGGAACACCATTAATGACAGCCCACAACCCAGGAGCAAAAGCCCATTACAGCTGTACCTGGGCACAGACCAAGACTGTCAATACCAGGAGTCAAAATGAGAAGGTGAGTTAATTAGGTTGGGCTTTAGGAAGATTTCAAGGGCACTTGTTCCCAGACATTGAATTACTGAAGCAAAACTAAAGTCATGATCTTCCAAAATTAAAATAAGTTTAAGGAAAGTATCTATTCTTTAAAATCCAATCCAAGTCGATTTTTAAACTCAGTCAACTCACCAGTTAGATATCTCAATCTGTGAAGGTAAAGCAGTAACTCACAAAGGGCAAATTAACAGCTGGTCTCTCAGGACAGAGTCCGCAGTGGATTAACTAGCTAGCCACAGTGAAAATATCTCATTCTCAAATATCTGTGTTTTCCTTCACATATTCTGAGGGCTTCTTATAGTATTAACAATGTCCCCAAACCCAACATGGGACAAATCCATGCTGTCCTGTTCAAGCTAAAGTTCTGTGGGAACGGATGATTCATGCCTGGACAATGTCTTGGCCCAGCACCTCTGCACCAGGGGTCCAGAACAATAGCAGCTCTCAGGCAGCCCCTTCAGAGCCACAGGCCTCAGAAGACAAGCACAGATCAGTTGACCACTTGTCACCGTTGTTTGGGTACAATGTATATTTGTTACACAGGAGATCATGGTACGTATCACTAAGAAATGGGGAGGACTGTGACTGTGTTAGCACTTCCTGCCTCGTTAGCCTAAGAGAGACTTCAGTTGTGGCGTTCTGTTGCTGTTTTACTTTCACCCAGGCACTTCAAAGGCAGTATCGGGGAAAAGAGCAGTCTTGCCACCTTGGTGTAGCCCTGAGGAATGATGTTCCTATACCAAGAGCCAGACAGGAGATGCAACTTGTCTCCGGAGCCCCCCATGCTCCTGCTCTGGCTTCTCACCCCTCCCTGTGTCTAGTACCTTGGGCACTGCAGCAAAGGCTGAATGGTAGCCCAGAGGTGGCCCCTTGGCAGATCTCCTTTAATTTAGGACCTCTTTCAACTTCCTGCTTGTCAGGAAGGGCTCTCCCAGGGAAAAGGAAGGTTAGGAATCCTCTACAGCTGGGTAAGGCAAGACCGCCACCCCAAGATCCTCACGAAGAGGCTCCCACACTGCCAGCTTCCAGTCCAAAGTAGACACAGTGATGGTCAGAGGCTGCTTTTTCTTTCCTTGATGCACACGTGAGTCAAGGAACAATGCTATTTCCTAGTTAGGTGTTCCAGAAACAAAGAAGGATCCTACAGGTGAAAGTCTCCCTGACCCCACCATCTGGACTCCAGGACCCTGTGTTCACAAACTCATTCTAGCCACCCAGCATGTGAGCGTCGTGTATCCTAGCCCACTCGCCCTCACAATGGGAGCCCTCTGCCAACTTTCTGAGGATGCCCCATGGTGGGCCCACAATCCCGCTTCCTCCTTCCTCTGAAGAAGGCATGGTGGGTTCAGTACACATCCTGTCCCTGTCCTGATCATTACTAATTCCAGTGGATCTCTTCCCATTATTCATTTTATAAACATGTGACTGCCTCAGCAACCATGAGCAGTGTATAACTATGACTCTTGCTCAAAGCTCTGTTTTCATGTTATTATCTTCTCCACCTCTGTCACAAACAGAAAGACGAATGGGACTCCAGAGTCACGACCAACTGCTCTAGGGACACCCAGCTGAAGGCCAGCCTCACTCAGTCCCCAATGGCCAGAGCTCCGTGCGACCTAGCCAGTCCTTGGGGAGGAACTAAAAGGGTATGACAAAGATAGAAGGAAAAGAACGTGAATGGAAGGCGAAAAGAGAGATAAAGGACAGTAGGGAAAGGAGGAGGAGGAGGAGGAAAGAGAAACAGAGCGACTAAACTGAGTGACATAACTGAATGGTGGAGGGAGAAGGAAGGACTCCGGCAACAGGACCTTCAGACAAAGCATGGCGGGGCTGAGGCCAGCATGGTAAGCACCCCCTCAGCCTGCCTTCTGCCCGCCCCCCATGCAGAGAACTTTCTTCAAACGTTGACATAGCTGTTTATTATTCCCTCAAGAAACTGTCCTCAGAGATTTGGATTTGCTTTGCTTATGCTTGTCCCCAGACAGTGAAGAAGGAGATTTCAAATCTCGGACCCTAGCAGAAGCGCTCGAGGAAGGTGGGGACCTGTCCACCTCTTCCCAGTGTGGGTCCTGCTTGCCTTCCAGCGATGGTCCAATCAAAGCAGGTGAGTTGAACCTCTTGGATTAAAAAGACAGTTTTCTCTCATGTAGCAACAGCCATCTCTGACACTTTCCTGACAGACCTTCCCAGGTTACTCATCTATGCTCATGTGGGAAGACTTGAAACTTTTTCCGTCAACAAATCTTGGAAGGAGAGATATCTGGGCAAGGAAAGTTGACGGGTGGTTTACAGAATAATAATACTAACACACAAGCCACGGGGCTGTGGGACCCAGACACGGGCTTCTGCAAGGCTTGAAAATAAGGTTCTCCACCCAGAACACCAGGAGGACTTGACAGCAGCCTGATTAATTAAAAGTATCTGCACACCTGGCAGGGCTCTCCCATGGCCAGAACAGGCCCACTCCGCTTGTCCCGGGTGTTCAGCAAGTCCCTCTACTGTTTTTTTAAACACAGCTCCAATCACTGTCTAGGGCCCTGGATGGGGCTATGGGGAATCCCAGGCCAATCAGCCCCATTACTCTTTCTAATCATTCTCATCCGAGGCCCAACAGGTCCACCAGTGGCCCGCTAAACAGTCGCTTCTTTAAATCTTTCTCATTGTGATCACATGGAAGGCAGTGTGATCACTGACCAGACCTGTAATTATGTAGGTAAAGATTTTGAAAATAAATTTAAATAAAATATCCTTGGTGACAGTGCCTAACTCCGTCCACCATTATTAGCAGACAGAGCCTGGAGCACGGAAACACAGTGGGCTGCTGAAAGGAAGCCAGATTGCAAGAAGACAGGGGCAGCACCACCGAACCATGTGAGGGACTGGTTTGAACGTGATTTTTATTCTGTACTTTACAGGAATGAAAACCGGATGATGCCCCAAACAAGGTCCCAGAAATGTGGCCTTGTCTCCTCTGAAATTTTTGCAGGAAGCTGGCACTTTGCCATGGCGCCCTCTTGTGTCCAAAGCTCACATGGCGCCGTTTCCTGATCCCGGCTTGCCTAAGAGCCCTGCTATTGCTGTGACTGCAGATTAATTACACCCTTTGTGGAGGTTAGACGGAGAATCCACACACAGCGTGACAGGTAGAGAGTAGAAGATGTGCTTCTTTTCTTTCTCCTTTTTATTGTGACATAATTTCTGTTCAATGTTCCTTCGGTTAGTACTAGTTGAGAGTTGGGGACTGAGGTTAGACCCTCTTAGTCATAGCTCTCTGGCTTACCAGTTATCAGGGCACAGGTGGCCACCCTCCTTGTATCTGAGATTCTGTGGGCCTTCTGCAAGAGGTAGCCAACCTCTGTTGGTCCAGGATTCTGCATTACAGTACCTATGTTCTCAGATAACTGAACATTAAATATGTGGGAATCTGAAAATGCCTGGAACTGTGTCAGAAGTGTTTGCCATTGGTTATTGTTAGTTTTTCTAAATAAATCAAAGAAATGTTATGTTTGTGCTTGGTAACTTCAGAGATAATTAAATCTATCTTACTCATTTTACCAGTGAGAAATCTCCAGTCCAAAGAGCAAAGTCAGAGTCATTGGACAGCAGAGCTGAAATACTGTTGAACTCTTCTGGGTCTACAAGGCCCAGGTCCTTGGCCACCTAGTACTCAGCACTCAGCTGCATCACACACCAGGCTCTCAGGTCTGGTACCAGTCAGTAGTGATCCTGTCTATTGCACTGGGCTGGTGCAGTGACAGTGAGCCTTACAGCCCAGGACTGAGACAAAAGGACACTATTTATTACCTGGAAATGCTGGTCTTCACAACTTTCAGAAAAACTAAAATGACCACACCCCAATAAATGATATTTTATGGTTATAAACATGATTGCAGAGCACTAGGTTCCCAGCCCTCTCTGCACACAACAGGATAACATCTAACTCGATGGCCCAGATTCCCATAAGGCCTAGCACCTGTGTAATCAGCCTGCACAGCTGATTGCTCTCACAGAAAGGCTCTCTTCATTATAGTTTTAAAGAAGATATTAGATCACAAAAGAACAAATATGAGGTACCTAGAGTAGGGGAATCATAGAAAGAAAGCAGAAATGAGCCACAGTGAGCAGGGCTGGTGGGGGAAAAGTATGAAGAGTTAGTGTTTAATATGTTGGAGAACAGTGCAGGGGGACTCATGTCCAACTGCAGGTTATAGACACCTTTAAAACTCAAACCAATGTGTACTCAGCTAGAGATTATTTTATCTTGGGTCAGATCTCATAACACGAGAAAGGCCTACCATTCTTTTGCATGGACCTTTGGGATTTCTCTACTCCTTCTGATTTCCCTTTCATGCCTAATGCTGAAGACACACATCCCACTGTGATGCAGTCACTGGCCACAGTTGGCAGCCTTTGGCAAACATGAGGGGTCACGCTGGAAAACATCTTCCAGAGCAGACGGAGACCCATGAGATTCAAATATCAAACATCACCACATAACATCTACCTGACCGAAAAGAGCCTGCTGGGCTGGTGCCATAACAGCCTACCAAAGCTCACCACCCATTCACCCAGGATCTTGGCAGGAAGTTGACCACTCTGGGCCTCAGCCTGCTCCTCTCCAGAATGGGGGACTGCATAAGTGTCTGCAGGTCTCCTGTGACTGTCCTATGGAGCAGCGTGGAAACAGAGCTGGGTCTACCAAAGTCCTACACAAGGTGTGACCCCCGCTACCTAACTGATAAACCTGCAGACAAGATTCACTCAGACCAACATCATAGTTTTTCTGACAAAACAAAAAAGTTGCCCCAACGATATAAAAATAGTGGACTGTATATATTTCAAAAAATAAAAGAAAGGATTTTGAATGAATGTTTTCACCGCTAAAAAACAATACATGTTTATATATTTAACCTGATTTAAACATTATACTATGTATACTTGTACTGAAACATCATATGGCACCCCATTCATGTTTATAATTTTTATGTTTTCATGCATCATTTAAAAATAAATTTTTAATTAAACAACCACAAGAAAGTTTATTGCTATTAGCTCTTTGCAACGGAACACACTCTCAATTTTATTATAAAACTACCACTTAATCTCCTTATAGCCATTTAAGTGGTAATTCCAATCACTGACTTTTCCAACAGCAGTAAGGTTGCTTGGTACAAAGCTAAACTGTCTTCAAAGTATTAAAATTGTAACATCTAACAATATCAATCTCATAAATCTGATATGTAACTTGCCACTTTTTAAAAAAATTCCAAATTCAAAGAAGATGTAACATCAAAGTTACTTTTTTCCTCCCAAAAAGACTAAATGTCTGAAAGAATAATATTGCTAGATATTTATAAACAGGATGTGCAGATTGATTCCAGGTCAGTTCTGGCACAAGGACTATAGAATTCACTCTCAGGAAATGAAATACTTGAATAGTTTATTCCTTTTGCACTTTCTTTTTGCGTAGTGACTTTATTGGTCCATCTCTGGATCCTGTGCTTTCACCTGCTTCTTTCATCTCATCCTCTGACCCAGACTTATTTGATTTATTCCCCTTTTCTTGCCCTTCTATGACTTCAACTTCTTCTTCACTCTTTTGCTCAGGTCCACTTTTCCTCTTCTTTTTCAAGAATTTCACCTTCACTTTGTTTTCCTCCCGCAGGTGCACTGGCTTGGCCAGGGCTGCTTTTTCTTCCTTCACTTCCTCTAGTGCTCCCTTTGTTTGTGGTTTATATATGACCCCTTTTCTATACTCTGTGTCTTCGTGTTTTTTCTTTACTTTTCTTGGCCAACAAAATGAAGTAAGTAATATTATTGGAAGGCCTGCTACCACAGGGAGAATGACCCAAAGCCTGGGATGCCCTTCAGCTGATGTCACTAACTGCTTAAACACACCGGACTCATTAGCATCTGCAACCAATACTTTTAATTTCCAGCTATCTTCAGCCCAGCGATCTGCTACTTATTTTTCTGAACAGATAATAAAATTATCAAAGTAGATCTCAGCGGTCATAGGCCAAAGCTCTAAACCACAAGCACTGAAAGAGGTCAGAAGAAATGGATGGTCATCTTCAAAATAATCTGGATTAGGAATTTTTTGAGGACTCCAGATTCCCTGGTGGTTGGGATTATTGATCATTGGTGGTTCCCATACTCCTTTGCATTTTGGGTTGTCAGAGGAGGTTTCCACTCACATCCACATCCAACCCGACGTGTTGGATTAGGGATATGAGGTGCCTCCCATTCACCACATATCTTCATTCCAGTCATCAGGGGTTTTTTGGCACTAGGATTTGGAATGAATTTTGGTTCATTATCAAGCCAACCATTGGGTTTAACAGCACCTGAGTCTTCCATTTCGGCAGGTTCATCTTCATCCCAATCTTCTGGTTTGACAGCAGTAAGATCAGGGATTTTTAGTCTTTCATCCCATTCACCAGGTTTTTTATCATTAGGGTCTTCAATTTCTCTGGGAGGATTGACATCTTCTAAGAGACTTCCTTCGTTTACAACTATTTGATCAACTAATACTTCAAATGTGTCTTCTGCATTCATTACAAGAGTGTAAAGATGAGTCTTCCTATCTGTAAGGAAGATTTTAAGGTCTACATTTGGTGGTTTGGCATGTTTCTCTTCAAAAAACTCCAGTTTTGGGATGTTTGTCTGAAGATAAAATGAAGTTTGTAATCTTCTCCGCACTTACCTGGTCCAAACATAATGGTATAAGAGGTTTTAAAATAAAAGTTTTCCAGAATCAAGTCATCAGTGTCTGCTGGGAGTTTAATGTATGCATCTCCACAACCAATACCATCTTGAAAATTTACTTCATATTGAACTGCCAAAGGTTTATCAGCAAAAATAAAGGGTTTTTGCTAATAGCTGATACGGCCTGATGTTCTGCTCTAGATTTCAGTATCAGTCCTCTGTCACCAGGTGCCTGGTCTTCTTTCAGCTCTTCTATTTCCCATTACCCATCATATATAGAAATCTCGTCATCCATCTCATCTTTCTTTGCTTTTGAGAAGACCCATCCAGCCAAATTCCCACTATCCAAAGTTTCTGTAAAATACACTTCTCCTGTGGGGTTAGGTGTCTTAGAGTTAATCTGAAGAACTTTCACCTTCAACAACATCACTCTCACCTGAGTTTTCATCCAAGTTTTCCATCTCAACACCATCATTCATAAATTCTGCACTGTCCCGCTGACTGGGTTTCGGGAGTGGCAGCTCGGGCGCCTGACGCCTGTTCCCTGGGTCTCCCCACACTAATCCCGCCCCCGGGCTGCACTGGAGAGCTGCTAACCGCGCATGCGGCAACTGGCAAGGAGACGCAGGCTGCGGCAGAAGACTTGCGAGGCACGCATCTGTGGCGCCAGGCTCAACGGCCTGGGAGCGCCCGGACCCCTAAAAATAAATTTAAAACTATGCAAGAAAGTACTTTATAAGAAATTTGACCTCTGCCTTTTCTTTATGGAATAGTCTGCAAATGCAGAACAAGAGATTAAACACAGGATTTTACATATCAATAGAAAAAGGGAAACGGTGGGAAGGCGCAGAGTTTTTGTGTAAAATAGCCTTCTTGCCACCCTCCCACTCTTTTCAAATATTCATGCGTAGAGTCCTGTATCCAACACCCTCGGGTTTTCAAATTTCAACAATGCCGACATAGAAAACAAGCAACTTGGGTAAATCATTTAAATGACACACCGAAAGTTCCTTCAAATCCAGACTAGGCATAAAAGAGAAAGAATTGTGGAAGGGGGGAAACTTCTAAATTTTTTCCGCTTTCCTCTGAAAAATTTCCTTCACAAAAGAGAATAATAAAAAATGATAAGCAACATTTTTATAAGTATGTTGATTGTGTGTGTTTCTTTATAAACTTTATATAATGAAAACTATGTGGAATCTTGACTGTTCACATCTTGGCAGCTGGCCAGACTCCGGAAAGGACACTTGACGAAGACCCTCATAACAAAACACTCTCAGTGTCAGCCATCTAAAGAAACACCTGCAGTGTCGGCCATCTTAGCATCATCTGTGTGGACAGCACAAAACAGAAGCACCCTGAGCAAGAGCGTCTTTCTGGGAAGGATGTGGTGATTCCCCAAAGAAAGGAAAATCTAAGTCCCCACTCTGGGAGGGTCCTTCCTCTGCAAGTTCTTTCTTGGCAACTGGGAAGAGGCAGGTTTTGGCTGAAGCTGCCTTTTTTTTTCTAACAGAGATTAGGAACAGGGGACTCATTACCCTACTTTCCTAAAAATGTCTAGAACAAAGAAACAGATGAGCTGGTCTAAAGAGTCTCATACAGGAAAGAAGTCATGATCTGTCCCTTGACAATTTTATGAGTTTAATCTATCCAAAGGGTCCAAGAGAAACCATCCCATCTTACTAAAAGTAATTTATCTAAATCTGACATGAAACTACATTTTCATTTTTTAAA